GATTATCATCGTCATGATAATTTCACGTACTGATAACTACCATTATTGTAATTATCTCTATCATCATCACTTTGTTACAATTCACTATTATGATATGAGCGGCGATTTTCACTGCTATGATCATTATATTGTTATGATTCATAGTAGCGTTTGCCATTGTCAAAAATTACAAATTATGGAATAGATATTAACTCGAGAGGAATGTTTTAGTTCCCTCTTCCTGGGTATCGGGTATTGACGATATGTGCTGGAGATGATTCAGAAAATTAAATAGTGAATGGTAGAGAAAATCACGAAAGCTTTCCATTCTCATCACAGCTAATTCCTCCTATTTAATATGCATACATAACAGTGTTCAAATTTTCTACTCGCATTCTTTCATTGTGTAAATAAAATAAACATAGAAATTAGAGCAAAATATGGGATGGTAGGGAGTTGCATGATGATTATAATAACTGCTTCGCTAAAAAAGGTATTTCATTTAGCTTACATTACGCTATTAACAAAAATATAATCGTAAATGCTGTGGATGATAATTGGGAATACATTTATGTCATAGCGGGACTTCAAAGACTTCACGAGCTTTAAGATAGGACATGAAAATTCGATACAGTTGATTAATGTAGTTGGGCGTTTTCCAGGGGTTCGGGAGGGGATGGTCAGATCGTTGGAGGTGGAGGGGAGAGATGGGTTTGTTTTGTTTCATATTCCCTTTGTATGGTTCACTTCTAACATTAAATTGTCATTGACCAATATTGGAAATTATTTTTAAGCATTCTTGAATGGCGAAACCCCTTGGTATGTATAAGATTTATCATTGACTATTAAATTCTAAATTTTATTTTCTAAATTTAGTTTCTGCGAAATTTTGGTCATTGCTTGTATTGTTCAAACTTTTTTGCGTAATTTAAAGACTTGTTAGGGATTAGTCTACCTAACAATTATGTCTAATGTTTTTGACCTGGAATTCATCAACAATGCGCGCTTCAAATAATGCTCTAATTGGGCGTCTCCATCAAAACATGCTAGATACCTCTCTTTATTGGTTATTTTTTTTTTACATTATTAAATGCCACTTGCCATTAAACTTTATTAGTCGTACTGCTAATTCTTCCAGCGTTATAGGTAACGCTCTGTAAATTTTATAATTTATTTTTCGTACCAGATTCATTTTAGACTGCTCAATCAATAGCTGTAGAATGTCTGGCTGGGCTGCTTATATCAAAAATCTGCTTGACTCTAGTCAAGGTATACAACGAGCTGCTATTGTCGGTTATCCAGATGGTTCCGTGTGGGCAAGGTCCGAAGGTGACCGTGAATTCCGGGTAACAATTCTTGTTATACTGTCTTGTTAACATTCATCATTTGTGTTACTGACGCAAGATATCACAGATTTGGACCACTTTTGTTAATAAACTGTAATCTTGCACATATGTAATTGATAATTAAAAGCGATTACCCAAAAGCATTATTTCCTCCGCATCGTTTTAGAGGATCATCGAAGTTCAAACTTTCTAGCACTTCAGCATGATATTATGCTGTAGTGAAACTTCTTTTTTTATTTCATGTGTTAACCTGATGGCTTTTCATGGTATTTATTAGCTTATTGCCCTATTAGACTAATGCCAAAATAGAAAATTCACCAAAGGATTCATGATCAATGTAATGATTAGATAAAGCTTACGTTTTCCAGGCAACAGACGAGGAGTTAAAAAAATTTGTGAGCCTATATGATCATATTGAAAAAGTGCCAGCTGTTGGTTGCGATTTGGAAGGTGATTCTTGTATAATTTCTTTCCAAATAATCTAGTACTGCCCGATGATTACATGGAATTCATTTCCATGATGTCATGGCTTCTCGGGAACGCTTTCTTTTAGAAAGCACACGGTGACAAACATCGGGCAGTTTCTTCAAATTAATGTATTGCTGCTTTTTTATTCCTTTTTAGGTTTTTGGTGATTTCATTTTGATTTATCCGGAATAAACTACGGTTTAACGGTAGTTTGGTCTACTTCGTAATCATTTTTGAAAGAGGAACATGGAAAGGCATTCCTGTAAGTGAAGTATTTTTAGGAAAGCTGATAAACCGAACTTTTTGTGGTATAGGGGAGAATAAAAAGAAAGATAGAGGATGAGATCCTAATATGAACCTGCAGATTTATAGAATCATCCATCCACTAAATTTCCGTAATGAACAGACTTTGAGCCATCTATTATAGGCGTGCATTATATAGTGCCACGAACGGAGCAGAATCTCATTTTTGGTAAACGCGATAAAACTGGGATATTTGCAGCCAAAACTAAATCAGGTCTTTCTTTGCTTTTTTTTGTATTCTTTATCGTAATTGCTATACAGATAACAGTATGGCAGGACCTAATTATGCATACCGTTTTTCAGCATTTCAGTGCACTAGAATAATGTGTCAAAATATAATCATGCAATGTTTGTGTAATCATATATTTAATTACAAATTTTCAGCTGTGCTAATTGCTTGCTATAAGGGAGAAAATGCTGCGGAGGTACGTGTAGCAGTTGAGAAACTTGCGCAATATTTAATGGATTCTGGATATTGAAACTTTCGAATTGATGTCTTCAACATTTACGAAAGAACATTTCACTTCCAGACGGAATCATCAACTTATGAGTGCTTTTGTTTTAAAATTTTTTTATGCAGAATCTTGAAAATTTGGCATCATATGATTTGAAATTCAATACGTTAGAGGTCTTCGGAGATTAGTAAATCCTTTTTTTTTTATTCATTCTGGCATGCGCCGCCGTTCTCTTATTCTGCTGCGTCATATATTCAGCCCTCCATTCGCACATCTCGATTTTTTTATTGTCATTCCCTGAAGAAATGAACTTTACACTACATTTCAAATTTCATTTCAACCATTTCTATAATATTGCTTTGACTTCTCTTTTAAATATAGCTGTTGCATCGCCACTTTCTTTTGCAACCATTCCAAACACTTTTTTTAACTGAATAATTTTTTTTGCATTTTGCAGCACCACTTTGTTTTACAGGTTGTGGACTGATTTCTGATAGTTAGCATTTAAGATTTAAGTGGAGATATCTTATATTAAATATGAGGTACTTGAATTAAAAAATATTCTTTAAGTGAACGAGAGGCTTGAAAATATTGTTCCTTTATTAATTATAAAGGCTGTTAATTATGCGAAGACAGTGCAATAAGATAGAAGAGAAAGTAAAATTCAAATGTTGGTAGTTATGGATATGAAGAATTGGTGAACGGCCAGCATTACTGAATTTAGTTAAAATATAAACTTTTGCATTGATCTTCATTTTTCGATACATTTATGGTGAAGAAAGTGTTGAAGATACGCGCTTGTCTTTCTTTTTTATCCATGTATCAGTCATCATTGTCGTGGCAAATTTGCAGGCAATAACTTGGCCGTTTCGCTTGTACTTCATTTTTTCCTTTGCATGTATCAGTTCCAATTATAATTAGTCCTCTTTGTAAACGATTTCTATGTTTTTAATTTCCTAAAATACGGTTATTTGATTATTCTTTATGCACTCTGCTTGAATTTCCGTGTTTTTTTTGGTTACATAAAACCCGTTTTACTTAAAAGATTTCCATCCATTGCAAGAATAAATATTCAAAAATGGCTTTTACTTGGCATAAAGATTAAAAATGTGTCAATTGTATTGCAATTTCACTTTCCCACTGTTTGGGAGAAAAGCGGATGACGACGTAAATTAATGGAAATTAAAATGGCATGAAGATCCAATGTATGACACTCAAAAGATTACTTATACTTCTTCGGGGAAGAGTTTTTTTTCGAAAATTTTATTTTATCCATTCAGTCGCACGGTTTCGGTTGACAGATATATAGTATGCACTGGCCTGTACTCGTTAAGTTTCGAAGACGCAGACATTCCACTGGAAGCGTTAGAGCGCCTTCATATCTGGTCTTTGCATTTGTGGACTTCCGCATTTACGGCATATTGGCACTTAAGAGTAGTATGACGTTTAATGTTTCCACAGAACACCGATTAGAAAGATATACATACATCACAGGCTTTTATGCTACAATACAGTATAGAAGTTTGTGATATATGTATAATTTTCTGAATGAGAAAAGCATATCAGATCATGCATGCGATATGGTCGTAGCCTTATAATTGATAATTAACACAGTCTACATTAACATGAAGTGTCTCCGAATACCCCTTTTTTGTGATATTTTTTTACTCCAACTATGTGCAAAATTCGAATGAAATATGAGGAACCTACAAAATTCAAAAAACTTGTGAAGTAACAGGTATTGAAATGTAAAAGGTATCATTTCCATAACACAAATTTATCATTTACATGCGTGATAGCAACAGATCATTAGGAATCAGTCGGATTTTCCTATAATTCCTTTTTCTCGGATATATCATAACACTCTCCCGCTAATAACTGGAACGCGAGCAGTGGAAATGTAAGAAAAAAAGATTCTATTAATCCATAAAATAAAATCTTTTCATCAAATTTTGCACTTCCTCTCAATTACAATAAAGAGTCGTGTAAAAATTAAGAAAAAGCGGTTTCAAGAAATTTATGCTGAAAACTCGTCAAAACATTTCTTTAACGCTATCCAATATTTGGTGCTTAATTTGAATCATCATAAGAGATGGAAAACTTACTGGAGAAACTGAAAGGGAAGATGATTCTAAAGATATGTTCATCCATTTCATCTCATAAAATACGGGTGAAATATCACTTCAAGAAACCATCAATGGAAGAAAAAGTAAAACTGTACAAGACAAGCTAACGAAGATTGTTCGCGTAGCAGACAAATGCAATCAGTGAAACGTTTAGTAAGTGCAAGAAGCGCAGAGACATGTTGTTTGAACTTAAAATAAAAAAAAAAAAGTTTTTTTCATTTGTTTGCATCTCTTCCTTGAAACTAAATAAACGCTTGCAAAGGAGTGGAGAAAATTGAGGTGAAAAGTTACCGCACCATTAAAGCTACAAGTGTGGTTAATGATTAGCAATCCAGAAAATTAGCTGCCATAAGAAGCTCGAGGGCCACTTCGGGAGCTATACTAAATTCAGGTATTTCCGTCGCACTATTCGTATAACGCACCTTGTATGCAAAATATTGGCACACCTTCTGTAGAACATGTGACCTGCAGGTAAAAATGATATGGAGATTAAAAACTGAATTATAGCTCAGTGATAATTTAAATGCTACGAGCAGAAAGCCTTTTAGCTGCATTTTGATACAAAATATATCAAAATGAAAATATAGCGTACAATGAATGCCATCTTATTTTATACAACTTGTTCGAAAATAATCCTCATCAAAAACAATTTATCCTTACTTTTTCTTCATTAACTATTATGAATTATTTCAAAACTATGGTCTTAATCCAAAAAGCAGAATCTCTCAAGAGGAGATATTCAACCTTATTCTTTTCATACATAAATCGATAAACCTACGGAATTTCCCTGAAATTAACTTCGTTTGTTTCATTTTCTGAATAAGAGCCAGGACCGGATAACATTGCTTTTATTGTACCCGATGTTAGTGCCAAATCCTTTTTAATGATAAATTCATGCCCATCACTACTAATCAGTTTCACATACATTGCATCTGGTCCTTCGACTCCACCATAAACTGCAATAACACAAGACAAAACAGTCTGCATTAACTTTTTTTCTAATAAAACTATAATTGTCAAAAAAATTTCAGGTTGGTAAAAAAACCGTATGAAGATGTTAGTGCCTATTTTAATCCTAAACATTATGCACATCTTGGAAAGTTTACTACAATGATAACAATGAAGATAAGCTAATTATTTTACCTGTTTCAGTTCCTGCCATACTCTCTTCTCTCAGAGAACCCAACAAGTAAATCTATTGAGAGAGAAAATATTTATTCCAGATTAGAAAGTACCACAGGGACGATCCAAACAACTCAATTAAAGACAGCCTTGACGAGAACGGCTCAGGAATAAGTAGCCAAAAATAAAGATCATCATTGTGATGTCTCTTTTACGATGTTTATTTTTCTCATCTTCCTACTTCATTATCTTTTTTTCGTCCTCTCAATAACTTCTACATCCTTTTTGTTAATATTCTATCGGCGTTTGTTTTTCGTCTCTGTCTGCATGTTTTCTAGCAACGCTTAACGGAAATTCGAATTCGAAAATTTCGAATTAAATCAGTGTGGGGTTCGCGTAATCTTTTGAATGGCCATGATTTGACCGTTACAGTTCCAGTCAATTGTACAAAGGCTACCAGTACTCTCTCACCAGCACATTCTGTTTTAGTAATCCATCGGTTTTGCAAAATTTGTTCATGGCTTATAATTGAAGCATTCCTTGGTTGTCTTCTATGCATTTGTTAAATTAGTTTTTCAGTCGTACTCGATTTGCTTTTCTTCAAATCACTCCAAAGATAGCCATTAAAATATTACTACTTTTCTTCCCATCCCAGAATTGTTAAATCCTGATGTTTTTCACTCGTTTCTCCCTATTATTTTTCATCAATTTTTCGCAATGGTGTGAAAATCCATTAAACTCATAATTTCATTTTTAACCACACAGTGATATTTGATATGTCAGTCAAATTGGTAATCATTTAGTGCTACTCGAAGCGTTACAATCAATTCCTCTTGTCAGTTTAACATTTTGAAATCCTAAAATACTTTACACCTTTCCCGTTATCTCATTTCACTGAAATTGTTGCATCATTTCGCACAATTGTGTATACCAATTTGTGACGATGATTACGATATATGTATGCATATGTGTACATACCGTAAAAGCAATTCGATTGTTTATAAATAATCAATAAATGTGGTTTAGATAGAATGATCATGATCATGATCAATGGTTTCTATAGCCGATATATTGTCACTTCAGTCGATCATTGTTTCTCAGTTGCTATCTCTCCTATGCAGGTTATTCGATTTCTTTTTAAACGCTTGACATATTAGTCATAACCTGTTTGTTTACTTTTTATTAGTCATTTATCATCAATAATTTTCAAGCATATAACGAATTGCTTCGATCATTCGATCTCTCAACGCATCAGTTGATTAATTAACATTCTATCTTTTCTTTCTACCTTTAACTACGATTTTTTCGCATATTTGAATTTTTTTGTCTTTTCTGTTATTATCTCTTATCACTTACACTTTCATCATATTCTTGAAATAAGTTTAGTCAATTGCGATCACTGCTAGGATATTAGACTGTTGTTAAAACCTTTTTTCTTTTCTTTCAGTCAACAATATATCTTATCAGTTTTTAAATTTATTTATTTTTCCCATTACACTAATATTTGCCATTCTGATTATCTTAGATGAAATCTGCACAAAAATTAAAATCAATTTTAATAAGAAATATGAAAATTTTCGGTTTGATATATATTCCCTAAAAAACTAAAGTAGTGGAAATTTTGTTAGCCAGACAGCATTCATTGGAAATATATTCAGAAAGAAGACATTTTAACGATTAAGCAGTAACGTTGAATTGCCTTTTCCCAATGCAATAATCCTTTCACTTCTTTTTTTAACATGAGAGCTTGACTGAACTAATAAAGTATTCTCTTGTTCCTGTTGAAGAAGTTTGGATGGAGAGAATGGCTTGTTAGAACTTAGAGTAAATAACTCATTCATCCATCCATTAGTTCATCTCAATCTATCTGTTCCCTATAAATTCATTGATTCCCTTCCTTATCCCCATCCTCTATCTTTCCATTTTCCTCTCTTTTGCCAATGAAAGTTGTAGTAGTTTGAAGATATTCTTCTCTTCTACTGAATTATACTCTTTCTCATACAAATATACATGCCAATTTGTCTATCGCTAACTTATACAAATTGCTGTCATTTAAAAAGAAATTTTATTCACATATTTGAAGAGATTTTTCAGGCATAATGAAATGACATATTTATTTTATTTAATAGAGAAATTCAAACTATTTTTTTTTTTTGGTGCTGATGAATGTTTTATCTTAGCAGTAAAATGATTCATATCACACTAAATTAATATAAATAGAAATAGTGAATGATAAGTGAACAGATGGGGATAAAGAGAGCCAGGCGTTGTTAATTTCATCCTACAATTTTTTATTCTGTGTGTATGTAAAACTTTCAGATAGGTTTTATAGCAAACATTTTGTCCCATTTTAATTGCTGTTTGGATATAATCAAAAACCGCATTATTATTAAACAATCAACAGCAACAACAACACCAGCGACATTGGATGTCACATATTTTGTTGACATGCCCGTTATAACTCTCATTGAACAACCTCTTCCCGATATATCCGTACACATTTCATGTGACAGTTGGAGTGCAGACGATTGATACGACAGATGGGACAAGAGGAGAGAAAGGCTATCGATCAGACAATGACCGGATAGGAGGACAGTGGAGAGGCAAATATTCCGAAGATAGGCAGGTAGGATGCATGTGTGTATATGATAGGATGTGGTCATAAAGCTGATAGACCAGTGGATGACCACTGAATAGACTACTAATCCAAATCTTCTGATATATAAGGATATATATTTAAAAGGTTGGAGAGAAGCATGATTTTAGACTGATCGTTTCCTGATTGCTATCACGATTGCTTCCCTTTCCCTTTCAATATTATCATTTTATTTACACTATCAACCAATACTCTACTCTTCTCCAAAAAAAAACCCTTTCTCTTTTTTGCTGTTCAATTGCAAATTTATCTATAATCTTTGTATTTTGATTTCAATCATTTCACGATGATATGTCATTTTTGTTACTCAAAATTTATTAGCGGTGTTTTCAATAAATATCTTTAATTTTTATTATTGAAAGAAATAAACAACACTTACGTACCTGTTTTGCATGAAATCATTGTTAACAAAACATATTTACTTATTATTGGTACTGTTTTCGAAATTTAAAATAGTTTTTCATGTCTTTTTAATCATTAACGATTAGTAGCAGCTGTACTAATGTCTTGAAAAGCACAAATAAAATAGGAGAAAGTTCAAGAGAGAGATTCTGCCGACATTTTAAAATTCCCACCGGTCCTATTAGCTTGTAATGCTTGCAGATGTGAAATAATGGCTGATGGGATGATAGGGGGAATGGGAAAAAAATTGAGGTCTTTAACGCAACGAAAAAAAGGTGCTTTTAGAGGATCAATAAATGTTATGAAGTTGAGCTGGACTTATTCGGAATTAATCTTAAATAGCAATTTACGGAAGTTCAAAAAGTTTAACACTGCTTCATTTTATTTTTTTCCAAAAAAAGCCTCTAAAAGTCTATTGGATTTATTGCAGAGTGCATTTCCTCTAATTCATTCAATATCATAATTATTTTTCTATCAATAATGAGAAATTTCATAATCGAAGAGGAACAAAAAAACCTCTGCTATTACAGAACAGAATGTTGGAGCCATTTTGTGCTAATAATATATTCACTTCTTGGATGACACGTTTTATGTATAGTTTCATTGGCTTATAATTAAGTAGATAATTTAAAATATGTATAATTAGCAAATTTGGTTGCTAACTTGTCATTATTTAATTGTTTCTCTTTGATAAATTCCTAAGTTTTAATAAATTAATTACTGTGATGAATGTCTTAAATCTCACGCTGTGAATATAAATCGAACATTTCTTTTTGTGCAGTGAAATTTTGTTAATATCATATTCACATGTAGCATAAAGTTTATGCACTTCATTATTCCATCATTTTTAATTAAACTTTTATCCAATTAAAAGAAGATATAACCACAAATTGATCGATTAGCTATTAGCATTGAAATTTAATAACTGGTGATAGTTTTCCTTCCATAATATCCATTTCCAATTAATTTTTCATTTGAAGACTTCAATTTATTTATTTCCCTATTTGACTGAATTTATTTCCACTGACTTTACTTGCTTTTTTTTGCAAATAATTCGACCTTGAAATATTTTGAACTGTTTGCATTCATACTAAACAAGTTAAGTGGTAGAAGTGAAAGGAGGCAGAAAAAGAAGACAATATGTTGTTCGTACACTTTACAACCTCTTTTTTTCCTACTCAATTTTCAAAAATTTTCACCACTTTTCAGATTTTCTGTGCGATTAGAGTTGGCCTGATCCTCCTCCTCTCTCCAAAGATTGTCTATCATTTCATTTAACCTAAAAAGATACTTTCTCTGCCAACCATTTTCCTTTTTTTATTGCATATTTTGTATGTATGTATGTGTGTTTCTGACAAATTTCTTGTCTTCATTGCTAAAAAGTTGACAGTCGTAATTTTTATTACTTTCAAAAGAAATTCTATATGTTTCTAAAATTATGATTTAATTTTATCGAAAATTACTTGCAATGAATTATAAAAATTTACATGAACTGTTGCACATCGTTCTGACCTGGAACTGGCTGGCAACTATGCCATCATATATCCTAGCAGAGGACTATTACCATCATCATCATCATATAAATGTTATTAGTGAGTTAATACTACATATCTTTGGAATGATAAGTATTCAAAAGTTACTTAAACACTGAAGAATAATGTTCAGTCAAGCTTTGGATGATATGCAAATGATGCTCTTTTCATTCTTTTTATTTGTAATTCGATTTTCAGATAGCTCGATATTAGAATGCTTACATAAGTATGGTTGATAGACGATGATGATGACGACGTGTATGTGTGTGTGTGTGTGTGTGTGT